TTTTTCATTGACATGCTTATGGAAGATAGTGAAAATTTGTCATGGTTAATATGTTAGAGCTTGTTTGTCAGTCAGCTTCTAGTTGTGTGTTGCTTTGTCCAAACACACGAAATTATTGTTGCAGCATAATTGAAGTGTGTCTCCTTTCATCTTTTGGCGTCATTATGTTTCCTAAGCCTTTGGTGTATTACGTCTTACGTAAAGCGCAGCAGGCTGTACAGTCAACCGTCAAAGCAAAATAGTCTGCAGCGCTGGCTTCCCCTTTTGCTGACCTGAGATAATCACAGCTATCAAACACACACCGAGATAAACTCACTGATGCTTCCTAATGTGTGATAGAGATGTAAAATGACGGGACCGACCCAAACCAAGATTTCTATGGCTATTTAATTAGTTCTTCATTGGTAAATGTTCCATACCGTCACAACGTTTCACTGAAATCAATTGTGCAGTTTAATGTTTATAAAGGATCCATTTTTTTTTACACACTTGAAACAACCCACATGTACAGACGCACAAATTGGACAAAAATAGCTCTCCAGGCGACAAGATAGAACAATAATGCATCATACAACTCGTAAACATTATATAGCTTTTCCTTTCTCATTCATTTAAATAAAGCTAACCTAGGCAGACACAATATTTCTATTGAATATTTACACCGTATTTAATTGTGTTTGATTTTCTAGTCGTCTCAATTTACAGCAGGTGTGTTTGGGTTGTATGAGCAGATGTAACTGGAAGGTGGATCTATGTCAGCGATTTACCAAGATGGCGCCGACGAGTGGTAGCGTGCTCCTGAGTATTGTCTTTGTTTTTGTCATTTTCATTCGTTTTTTTTTGTCGCCCCTACGCAGCTTACTTACTAAGAGAAGACGTGCCAAGCTTTAGGGAGTCTACACTTGGACTCTTTTCGTGGCTGCACCGTATGGAGCATGGAAACGCTGCCGGAAGAGTGGAAAACAAGCCATCGTGATAGTCAAGCTAATTTAGCGTGTGTTTCAAATCCCGCTCCCGTCGATCCATCTTGCTAATATATGTTCTCTGCCCACCGAGCCGCCCTTATTTGCATATGTAATTGTTTATTATATTGAAACTCCTACGTTTGATAACAGGACTGAAGGTAATCAGAGGCACTTTTTAGTGTATCGAATACAGAGATACATGAAATACCTTGTTGACACACACGTTGTGTGCTGAGACTTGAACTGCCCCAGTGGTCGTTAAAATATCGTAACCATAAGGAAACTAAATGAGTGAACTTACTTTTAGCCTTCTCATGGCCTGCAGAGCATCTGAACGATGCTACTTCCAGAGGATCATGTGACTAGTGGACTATTCCAAAATTTTCAGAGTGGTAAATGTTGCTAAAATGAATCTTCTGTATTGTATTCAAATGCAATCAGATCAATGTGCAGGACACTTTGTTTTGTTAAAAATAAATACAGTTGATGTTATTGCACAATCATACATTTTATTTTTTAGGAGACACAAATTACAATAATTCAGTGGAATGGATCATTACACTGTCCATTCAACCAATTTAAAAACTGAAGAACAGTTTAATTCTTCAGTTTGAACCAGTCATCCAAAGTGCTGATGGTTCTGGTCTGCCTGAAAGTTGCGATCCGGGCAAACTTTCTGCACCAGTCTGTAGTCAGTACCAGTGAAGGCGATGAAGATGCATATCACCTTAAAAGGTTTAGCACAGATCCATGCTGCCTGGGACTGAGTGTTTTCGGAGTAGCACGTCTGACCCGGGTCATACATACAGGGCTTGGTCTTCTTGGACCGGTTTGTTCTCTGGTACTCGATGCGGCAGTTGAGTTCAGTCGTCACCATTAAGTCCTGCTGCTGCTGCTTGTGCTTGTCTGGAGAGGCGGAGCTTGTGGATTGCAAGGGGGAAGCCAGATCTGGTAACAGTACCGAATTCCTGGTCTGAATACTTGGCAGTCCTGGATCCAGAACCTCCAGCCCAACAGCTTTCGAAGGTGGAACAATACTGACCGATATGTTCCCTAAATGAGAAGAGTTGTGGCGGAAGTAGACACTGAACGTGCCGTTGATGTGGTCCACGATTTTCCCGGTCACTAGAAGACTGAACTTTAATGTTCTCACATTGAAGTAAAAGTCCCCCCAGCCCAAAATCTTCTTGGATTTCGGAGAGACCTTTGGGTGAGGTTTGGACTGAGGATTGTAAAGATGTTGGTCGAGAACTTGAGAAAAGTTCTGTGACCAGCCGTACGGACCAAGAGATCCATATGCGGGGGTTTTGTATTTGGTGGAGATGATCTGTAAGTCCTTGGAGATGTGCTTCACCTTCAACGCTGCTCCAACAACGGCACCTCTTTCTACTTCAGCTGCTCTCCATTGTTGGCTTGGCAAGTCGGAGGCTTTGGTTGTTTCTTGGCCCTTTGAGGAACAAAACATGAATGAACAGTTACTTGTCACAAAAGAAAGTGACAGCGGCGCTAACACTTTTTCAACATGAGGGCTACTGATAAAAAAAGCCATCTCTTTTGTATCTATTGTAATATACAAATATGAATAAAATTGAAGAGTGATTACTGTTTCCCCTTATTTACCAATACTGTATTGTGTACTGGTGGAAAAAGCATACTTTTTTTTTTTTAACCTAAAATAGCAATGCTGACAAAACACAGAATGATGAGTAGGCTGCCAAATGAATTGCGCGAAATCCACTTCTCATTCTGGAGTTGCTCTCATTAAAAATTATTTGCAAGTAAAAGTTTGACTCCGGTGTGAGAGACAGGTATAACTTTTTAATGCATGGATGGAAGCAACGAAGCAAAACTTTTTCAGTGAAAACTTGCCCACAGCCAACGGAGGTTTGCATTCTCCTCGATATTTTTGGAATCAACATGTCTCAAGCGGGATGTCATTAAACGGCATCACCTCCAGCCACCTTGTCCACGTTATAAATTCACATCCGCTGTTGCATGCTGTGTCACAGGCAGGTGCTGCCGCGACATGGGCTGCTCTCACCGAGCCCAATTAGAGTGTACAATGTGACAACCATGTCAGTGGATCTGTGACGCCATACCAGCGCAAGGTTTTTCGGCGTGAGAGTTTTTCGGAGTCAGCCCAACACTAGGAGGGGATGGGGGATGAATACCTAAAGAAGGCCTGAGATGTATACCGGTAATTACTTTGGATATTATTTTGTCAGTGGCTTGAAAAGTTTTGTCTCAAGCAACCATGTTTGTACGACCATTGATTGCCAGGCAGCATATATAAGAGCTCACTTGTCAAATTTGGCATATGACAGTATTCCAAAACAGGGTTCTCCGACATTTTTGAAGTGAGAGCTCCTGTTTGGGTTCTGATTAATGTGAAGGGCTAACACTTCGAGGCACACTTCTAAAATAATACATTTGCTCAAATTACTTTTAATGACACTGATCAACAGTAGTTTTTAATCAGAGATGGCTTTACGTGTCCCTGAACAAAATTTTCACACTAATTTAAAAAATGTCTTATATGTAGACGCAGGGTGTACAATTTATATTTTGTATGTCACAAATCGGCATATTTTGATGGAGTCCAGCTTGCATTGACGGGTATAAACCCAATCTGTATGTTTACGCGATACTTGTCAGCGTGAATCACATTCTTATATGCATTTTCTGGAGGCCTGACTTGGATCTGAAGGTGCCCAAGACCATATTTTTTTTTTTTTCCCTAAAAGTATTTCTGCTGCCGTGATGCATACCCCACTTATGCTACTTGACAACAAATAATATTAAATGTGCCACTTGCAGTGCAAATCTAGCCCCAGAGCCACATCGTTTTTCAGATGGCAACAGTAGGTAGGCTCTGACATAAACGATGAAAAAAAAAAAACTAGAAGCATTTGTGATTATATACCGGTAAATCTTTTGCTCGAAGTAAACTATCTGCATCAGATAGTTATTTTTTTTTTAACCACTTGTGAATTTGCAAAACAGTAGTGACACAAAAATGCTGCTCCAGACTGTTCAAGTGTCGTTTTCCAGGTAAGAAGTCTACTTAAGGTTCGTCCCTCAATGTAACCTGAGAGGAATTCCATCACAAGACTTAAATCAGAGCCCATTCCAGGAATAATTATTTCATAAATGCCAATCACAGCTTGCAAAAAAATATTGCATACAATATTGTTTTAAACTCTGACGTATAAGAGTCAAGGTTGTTCACTCACCGCTGAAGGGAGAAGCCACAGCCAGGTGATGGTCAACTTCAAACCCACGGACACCATCTTGTACAACCAAAGATCCACTCGGAGAGCAAGCTTGACTCAAGAAGGTGGCTTTTACTCAGTTAAAGCCTCAAGACTAAGTGAGGACGTTCTGCAGTGACAGACTGAACCTCCAATACCCCCCCACATACACACACGTCTCTGGTGTGCTCTGCTCCGGCAGCCACTCACTGTCCTTGCACATTTAAACCACCGTAAGCCTGATAAAGTGGATTCATCCATATAAGAGGATTTGTAAAAAATTAGACTGACAAGTCAGCTAATGTTATGACAAATCCGTCGGTGAGAATGCGGAAAAGCCATCGCGTGAACAAACTACACAAGTCTCGCTTAATATTTGAGTAACTGATACAAATGTGTCAAGCATCAACCCCACCAAATGAATGCCTTTGGTTTCATTTGCTGATGCAGCAATCCTATAAAGTCAGACAATAATTAGAACAAAGTCATTGTAAGGTTGAAATAGTATGTCACGGCATTTTATTGGCGATGTAATCAGAAACACCAATGTCTCTCGTGTGAGCTCACGTGCCAGTAACTGCTGGATTAATTGACGCGTGTGTTACTTGCTGGAGGCGCGAAGGGAGCTATGATTCCGATGATTTTCCCAGCTGCTCTTCCCATGCATTTGAACAGGAAATATGCAAATTCATCTGCTTTAATTATGAAATCATTCATAATTATTAGATTGAAAAGAAAATCAATGTAAAAAGCATGGACCACAGAACTAAAATATATGTAATCATTTTTTTTTCTCTTCACATGCAGGGAGCGGCACTGCCTCACTTGCCTACCCTGACCACAGGTCAATGGTAGGGCGGGTGTAGAAAATGCATGGATGCTTGCCGTGTTTAACTGTGTCTGCTGCCCCTGTTCATGAAAACATTACATTGACCACACTAGAAAATCAAAGCCCCCATCCACATCTAAAATTAGTGTTGTTCCAATGCCATTGTTTGCCCATGATACCGATTCCAATACTAGTGCAGTATCGGCCTAAGTCGATACCGTACCAATATCACACCGTTTGAAAAAAACAAAATATAAGAACTTTTTTTTTTCATGTACAGTAATTCCAACAAACTGCATCCTCACGTGGATGTAAACTCATTCATAGTTCATAGTTAAATCATCCCTTAGGAAGTATCTGCAGTCAGATATTAACAGAATACAGTACTTGTGTTGAATCAACAGCCTATTTCCATCGCTCTTCTTATTGGTTAGAGTGAAACTTGGGCCAGATATTCTCATGAATGTGCATTTGTAATAAAGCAAGGTGCAACATTTGGACATCTAAAATATTATATTGTGTGATTCAAATAGACCCCTACCGTGTGACGTCACATTTGTATGCTGTGTGCAGCCTGAGGGCAGGCGGTCAAGTGTGATAACAGAGGCAAGATAGTTGCTAATTCCGTTATGTGTTCCGAACTATGGTGAACACCGATGCTGTTGATGGTTGCTCTCATTGGTCAACTCGAGATGCGAAATTTTATTTTACGATACTGGTAGTGATTGTAAAAGACTCCAAAACTGGCTTGATTTGACCAGTCTGATTTTGAAAATTTATCAGAGGAATCAGCGTTTTCCAGTCGTCTTTCCGTTCAACCAACTTCAATCTTTCTACATATAAATTTGTTAGTACTGTCAAACACTGATGACAGCGTTTTAATGTCGCATCAGGGCCCCTCCTGATACTAGTATTGGTATCGGTATTGGTGCAACACTATCTAAAATAAGACAAATAAATGGCTACTCACTCTTTTCTGATATTTAAAATATACATAATGCTGTAGGTCACCTGCCAGAATAAAAACATTGACTCTTTGACTTTGTCATTTGCACACAAGTGTTTTGATGTATCTTTTTTTTTTTTCCTTCTTATATCACAGTGATCTCCTGCAGCAGATTAAAGGGGAAGTAGCCCAGCTTGCGTCCAGTGCTGACCTTCAAGTAGCCACCTTTCTCGTCACCTTTTTTCACTACAATCTGAAAGAGGTAGAGCAACAACGCCACGGCCTGGTGATGAGAAGCACTTGCAACACACTCTCTTGCGGTGCACCTTTAGCCACATACCAATGTAGATATTTGCCATTATGACAGGCGAACAACGCCGTAGCATGCTAAATTTGTGTTTTCTTACCTGGTCTTTCTTCAGTGTGATTTGTCCCATCTCTCTGTTCCCAACAAAAGAGCGTGTGACCTTGTAAACCCTCTCTGATGCACGCACTTTGATGAGGTAGTTGGTGGGGAAATAGCCGCTTTTCTCTCCCATCTTTCCCTGTAAAATTGAAGAGCATTTCATTCCATGAAGTCACTCATTTTCTACAGACAATTCTGTTCAGGGTTATTTCATTGTGTTTGTTTCTTCCTGTTTGCATATTTTGTCATCATCAATAGCCACTCAGTCATTGTCGATACAATACTTAGAACACTGTGAAAAAGTATTATATATCAGTTAATCAAACCCACTTTAATATCACACACAGACAATGCAAGGAAATACAAAATGCAGTTTCTAAATGCCAATTTAATTTATGAAGGCATACCAAAAAAATTTTTTAATAAAAACCTACCTGTCCCATATGTGAAAAAGTAATTGCCCCCTGAACCTAATGATGGGTTGTGCCACCCTTTGCACAGAGAGAGAGAGAGAGAGAGAGAGAAGCTTGGATTGACTTTAAGAGGTTGACCTCACCCTCCACCACTCTTCATTGGAGTCATCTAGGACTGTGATGCGATCACCAGGGCTAATACAAAACAGACAAGATATCCTTGGTTTGTATGCATACTGATATTTTAGAGCTCAGTTGAATATAAATGAACTAATTTTGTCACACTTACTGAAAGTCCAGATCATCCTTTTCTATGGCCTTGAAGCGGTAGAGAGCCAAGTAGTAGTGTGACTGGGAAAAGGTTCCTTTTTGCTGTTTTCAATGGAGCACAGATACAATTGTGTTTTTAATTTCAAAATAATTCCAACGACTGAATGATGTGATTAAAAAAATACATTTTGGCAAAAGGGGTAAAAAAGCATTGTGTGTTGTAAACTTGCCATGCCACAACAATGCAAACTCCAAGATGAACTCCGAAAACATTTCAAATTAAAAAAATGAGTTTGTGCAACTCTTTTAGCTTACCTTGTCATCTGCTTTTTCTCCTCCTTTCTCTTTCTTCTCTTCAGGCTTCCCTGCATAACCACCAGACACCAGACTCATTCCATGAAGGTTTTGCCAGTATAATCAATTCCATGCCGTGTTCCATGGTTAAAAGTGAATCTGATAAGACCTCGGATGTGACCTTCTTTTTTTTTTTTTTTTTTTGTACCTTCTCCTCCGTCCTCATTTTCTTTGGGTTGTTGATTGTCATCTTCCTCTTCCTCCATCATCATCAGCATCTTGGTGAAAAAGAAAGTTGTTTTCTTTGTATGACTGCTTGTTTATGAACTGGAAAGCGTTGACGGTGTTGGACAAACGAGACATTTCATAATCATAAAACAGGTCACTTACATTTTTCTTGTCATTTTCATTCTTTTTGCGTTCTTTATTCGCCATGATGACACCCACCCTTAGGGTGTCAAAGACCGGGTCATTCCGATTTGGATTGTCTGATGATAGTTGATGGGTTGATGACAGCAGTTATGCAGGTTGTGCATCCAAGAGCAATATTGGAGACAAAAATGCAACTCTCAAAATGCCACTTCACAGGCAATCACAGATGTTTTATGATTTAACATCAGGAACAACCCACTTGGATCTGGTTGGTCGCTGCCGTACAGAGGGGAACTGTACGCCCGCCTGAAGCCTGGAGGCTGCAGAGACAAAATTTAATCGTCACATTTGAAGAACAAATACCAGGAGTAAAAACAGCAGAATAAAGGTCTTTTTATTCCATCTGAGTGGTACTTAGAGTGGAGCATTTTCTTAGTACGTAGAGCATTTTCAATTGCTAATGTCAACAAATAATCCTTTTATTTAATTGTGATTCCAAACTCACTCAAAATAATTTGGATTATTATTTTTTTCCACCATCGTCCTGCTTAAATTCCCAGTGTGTTACATTTCAAGACACAGACGAGAGAGACTTACTATTTTGCCAAAGCACTTCTGGAACTCAACATAGGACTGACATGAATGGTGGATGTTGGTCTTGCAGTTTTTACACCTCAGAGCAAACTTGTTGTTCACTGTAAGATCAACAAAACACATTCGAGATACACTGGAGCTTTCAGGTTAGAAAAGCGAAGATGTCATTATTTTCCAATACATACGGACTATCATTCGAGCACAGACGTCACAGAACTTGGGCTTCTTGCAGTAGTGGTCCTTGAACTTGTGGGGCTTGTCGTTGACACGGATGACAGGTTCTGGAGGTTCTGGTTCCTTCTCCTCCACCTCCACTTCTTCTTCGTATATAAAGTATACCTGGAGCCCACACAATATATAATAATTAGGGATGTTTGATACCACTTTTTTCAGACCGATACCAATACAGGTATTCACTCTTTGAGTACTCACGATACAGATTATGATAATTTTAGTACTTTTAATATTTAGAAATTAACACGGTGACAAAACATTGCGAAGAAAAACCTTTCTGACGCAGATGATGATTTGCTGATGCAGTAAAACTGACACGGTAGAGCGCCAACCACGGCCAAATTCGATTTAAACAATGTCCGATTTTTTTGGGTTTTTTTCCCTTTAAGTATTGGTGCCTGGTATCGGCTGCCTCCACGAAACCCAATACCTTAAAATAAGGCCGATATCGGCCCAATACCAATACCTGGTACAGTCAGAATGTTTATAGAGCTATTGGTTATTTTCAGAATGTCTTCTTGGAAAAGGTCTTCAAAAGTGGCACAATAATTCCGTCAGTACATTTTTCTAGTTGATGCCGCCTCGTGTTCCTGGCTATTTTCAAGCGGGCGCCCATGTTGACTGTGTTGGCTTGGCACTGTCACCCTGTCACTCACCGTGTCTCCGTCCTCCCTCACAACATTGTCAGGAGCTGGAGGATTGTCATGAATATCCACCGAGTTTTTGTCATCTTCCCTGGTAGATGAGACAAAACAATGTCATAGCACCAGTATTCCTGTTTTATATATTAAACACAAATTGTAAATTCAGTTTTATAGATTTAAGTGGATTCCTGATTAAAAAAAAAAAAAAAAAAAAAAATCAACACTTTTTTCATGACATGGCAAAAAAAAAAAAAAAAATCAACAACACTTTTTTCATGACATGGTGTTACCGAAAAGCCCAGAAAGGGCTTCAAATTGAAGGCTGCATTTATTGTCAATTATTCACACAATGATCACAAGGGAGTTCGATACCTTCTCGCATGTGCAGCACATTTAAATAGATTAAAAAATTGTATTCTTCTGAATAGAACGACAGCCAAATGGAAGCTAAGCAAACAACGATACTTCAATTATTCCCATGGCAATTGAAACTGAAACAGATTCCCGGAAGTATACTCACTGGTCCATTATGTTCTGTCACCACTGCTACACCTACAATGATAGACAGTAGATGTATTTAATCTTATATACCATTCATTCATTCATTTTCCTATCCTCACAAGGGTCGCGGGGGGTGCTGGAGCCTAACCCAGCTGTCTCCGGGCAGTCGGTGGAGGACACCCTGAACCGGTTGCCAACTAATCACAGGGCACACAGAGACGAACAACCATCCGCGCTCACACTCACACCTACGGACAATTTAGAGTCTACAATCAGCCTACCGTGCATGTTTTTGGAACGTGGGAGGAAACCGGAGTACCCGGAGAAAACCCACGCAGGCCCAGGGGAGAACATGCAAACTCCACACAGGGAGGCCGGAGCTGGGATACCTCTGCACTGTGAGGTCGACGCGCTAACCACTGGACCACTGGGCCGCCCCATCTTATATACCATTGGTTATTATTATTAGTATTATTAGTAGTAGTATTATTGGGTGGCATGGTGGTCGACTGGTTAGCACGTCTGCCTCACAGGGCAGAGGTGCAGGGTTTGATTCTGGCTCCAACCTTTCTGTGTCGAGTTAAAATGTTGGCCTTGCAAATAGAGGAAGTCTAAATGTCTTCATTTTTTTCTATTAAATCAAAATAATTACATCTTGTACAATTAATGGCAGATAGCACAAAAGCAAAACTTCTGTTAAAACTGCTACTAATAATCATTATAATGTAATGCATACGTTAATCCATTTTGCTTTTAGGAACATTTCAAAGGACTAAAGGTCACCTTCCAAAGCAGCAACAAATGACATCACAGAAAAAAAAGTTGGACATGACTTTTCCATGAGACATACATTCATACGGCACTTGTGCACTTGACCTAAACTATTCCAGGCTTCTGAAATTAAATCTCATCAGAGCTAAAGTGGGTGCCAGGTTATCAAAGCAGGTAAAATGACAAAAAATTATCTTTTTGTTGCTGTTGCACTCTTTTCAGTTTGTAACATACGTACTTCGTAATTGCAGTGAATTTATATACAGTACTGTAGCAACAAAACAACAAAATATGTTCATATGTCATGTGTTGACAATTGCTGTATTTTTCATTGAAAAAAAAATAATAATAATGTAAGGTGGGACAGGCATACCTTTATGTGGAAGGTCACAGCAGAAGTTTCCGTTGAAAGTTTCCGTTCCCAAGTCCTTCAGTTGTTGTCAATAACTACAGTGATTTGTGTGTGTGTGTGTGTGGGGTTATCTTTTTGTTGCTGTTGCACTCTTTTCAGTTTGTAACATACGTACTTCGTAATTGCAGTGAATTTATATACAGTACTGTAGCAACAAAACAACAAAATATGTTCATATGTCATGTGTTGACAATTGCTGTATTTTTCATTGAAAAAAAAATAATAATAATGTAAGGTGGGACAGGCATACCTTTATGTGGAAGGTCACAGCAGAAGTTTCCGTTGAAAGTTTCCGTTCCCAAGTCCTTCAGTTGTTGTCAATAACTACAGTGATTTGTGTGTGTGTGTGTGTGGGGGGGGGGGGTGTTCAGTGGATCAGAGTCCGATAACCCACCTGACCAAGCGATGCTTTTTCTTGGCTCATGCTAACACAGTCTTTGCATGTCCATAGTTTGCTTTCGGCGATTTCCAATTCCCAGAGTCCTCATGTGAGTTGATGGCCGACTATGACGATGTAAATGCCAAGCTGAGCACTCATGTGTCAAGCTGACTGTTTGGGACAGCTGCAGACCTCAGACTGTGGTCCGAGGATCAGGAGAAATTAGATACCTTCTCTATCCCTCCATCTCCGTCACATGTCCCCTTTCACCTTTTCGACATGTTTGACCAGCCAAGTCGACAAACATCCATCTTTTCTACTCACTGCCAAATAAATCACAAATATCAGTTACTGCCATCCAATCAGGGCCTCAGTTTTTGGAAATTCTTCTGTTGTACCGTTTGAAACCTCTATAGATTCGAGAATAACAACTTGGATTAAACCGACCGAAACCTGTACTTTTAGTAAATGTTATTATTGTTATTGTAATGTATTTTATTCTTAGTCTAAAGGTTGACCATCTGTCTAGGGACTGCAGATGAAAAATAGCCTTCTGGCTATTTCTGGCACAAAAATGTTTGTTAATATTCCTGTCCCTGAGATGTGTGTGTGTGTGTGTGTGTGTGTGTTTAGCTTTTTTTTTTTTTTTTTTTTTTTGGGCTTTATTGCAATACTGAAAGACCGCTTTGCACATGTTCTTCTTTTTCTTCAGGCTTTTGTGATCTTTATTCCCAATGAGGGAGTGGTCTCTATAAGGGGTGTTAAGAGAAGAAGAGCGTGAAAATAAAAGACTTGGACTTACCTTCAAACAAAAGGCTAGCAAGACTCCTTATGATGGACCTCACTTGTTTTTGGAAGACAGTTTATTGTTTGGGTGGCATGGTCACACAGTTCTGAGGTTGGGTGTTCAAAATCCGGGGTCCGACCTTCCTGTGAGGAGTTTGCATGGTCTTGCCGGAGTACCCAGAGAAAACCCACCCAGGCACGGGGAGAACATGCAAACTCCACACAGGAAGGCCGGAGCTGGAATTGAACCCGGTACCTCTGCACTGTGAGGTCAATGTGCAAACCACTCCCCAATTTCCATAGTCACTAATCTTATTTATAAATATGATAAGCATAGTACACTATTAGTCTGCACAGTAGACTACTTTTTATGACTCAACTCCAATGTAGTTACTTTTCTAATTATTATTATTGATTTGTACACTCATTATTAATAATAAACAATCGGATCACAGCATCTGTTAAGAAATTAATGGAATTAGATTACATGGGTTACCGTTGCAGCACAAACAAACATGGAAGTGGGGTTGGAAAAGAAAGGTGATTTGTGAACTTTATAATCTTCATTCAAAATTTCATATGTACGGGATTGTATGACATACTATTTCATAAACAAATGCTTATCGTCTCAAGCATTCGGATAAATATTCATTCATTATAAAATAATATTTTTTTCGCTTGTCATTTATGTGATCACGACTTTATCCCAAAGCGCAGTGATTATTTCTAACTGCATGGCCCATGTCCACTTGGAAGGTGACAAAGCTCCCGTTGCATGTTGGGTACAATACTCCTCGAGCTCAGAGTGCGCATGCGTGTTAGAAAACTCCATTATTTATTTATTTTGCTGGCTGGAATGTAAAAAAAAAAAACAAAAAAAAAACAAGGCAACTGTGAATTTTGGATTACATGGCTCGCGATGGTTATGGGAATATATCTGCATGCAAGACGGCCGAGAAGTAGTGAGACGAAAACAACGTCTCGCATGAGTCAGCGGGGCAGCGTCCACTCTTGTCGGGACACTCCAAATCAAGTAAATTCAGTCAGCTAGCTATGCTTCGCTAGTCTCTGTGCTAGCTTTAGCCTCCATTACCCAAGGCGCAGTCAAATTGCGGCGTTATTGCCCTTTGTCTGTAAACTGAACTTGCAGACGTTGTTCACACGTCGGCCGCTCGTTGCAGTTTTACGCGAACTACGCTGGGAGTGTTTCTTGATGTTTGTGTCAACGTTGTGTCCGTCAAAAAGCAGTCATTAGCTAGCCAGCTAACTTGATTCTCCCGCGAGCCAGCAAAGGGAAGACTTCAAAACTTCGCCAACACAGAGAGCCCGACGCCGAGTAAGGTAGATAGGTTCACCCCTGTCGTCCCTGCAACCTTTCCGTGCTTTAGTGATTAATCAATTTCATGTATTTCTAACTGTGTGTCTGTCGCACAGTCGCGTGTGCATATTGTCGTAGCTAATGTGCAAGAGTTTAGTGCGCCTGACAGCTGTCACGACAACACCACAAAGTGGACGCGGTTGCTAGCTTAGCTGTTAGCCTAGCATTTTAGCCTGTCGTGTCAGCCGTAGTGTTTAGATTCTGCTTTTACCCTTACTCGACACTTCAGACATGTAATGCTGCATCGTTGAATTATTCCATTTATTAGGCACGTCTAGCCGTGCTTGCTTTCTTAAAACGTGTGCAGTAATTGTTGTACATGCGACTTATTTATGCGACTGGACACCCACTAAAACATAGGCCTATATTTTAACACACCCTCCCACCTAAAAGTAGCGGCAACATGTGAGGAACTTCCCATGTTTTTTATCTTCTTTGTGAGGACAGGCCATTACATGTTAATATTTATGATCTAAATAAAACGTGCATTTAGAAATCGTCCAAATGGTCTGCTACTGTGGGACTTCCCATATTACATAATCCACCTCCACACTTCTGTTGCAGGATCATCATCCTCATATCAGCTCCTCCTTGGATGTGAATTGAATAAACGTCTTGCAGCGTTCATTCTTCGTGGCAGAGGCGCAGCCTGGTTGCTGGGGACACTTTGGACATTGGGTCAGGTTAACTGGCAGTCTGTGTGCTTCTAACCCACCAGCATGTTCATCCGACAGTCAATACCCTAGCCAAACCCGAGCCTGGCTTCACAAAGATGACAAGGTATTTTTATTTATATCTTCATCTTCTATTTAAGATTTTTTTAATTCTCAAGTGATTACAATGGGACCTCCGAAGTTCACAGTAGTTATTATTTCAGAACTGTAATGTGAGTTCTACGCTCACACTGTCACCATAATAAAACTATTGACTGCAGAGACGATGGTCCTCCTTGACTAATAAAATTGTAGAAACGTGCACATGGATTCATGTCACATGTGCACTTGCCAGTTTTTTTTCTCAGTGCTGTGCATGTTGGTGAATCAGAATTCTGAATACAGGGAGTTGAAAGCTGCAAAAAACACACCCCTATTTCCCTAGAAAGGGGGATCTCCTTGAGGCAAATAATCATACATTAATCATTTTTGCGCAATTTTTTTTTTCATGTCAAATAGGTTAGTATAACAGTATAGTACAATTCAGAACCCAGGCTTCTTTCGTATGTGGATACAAATCGGATATTTATCCAATACGACTGCAGACTGGATGCTCAGGTTACAATCATCCGTCCAATACGTAATCAAAAGGCAGCAAACATCACGAATGATTGACAAAGCAGACAGCGTAAAAAGCAAAGGCGTACAAAGGAGCAGAACTGGTTGCCAGTCAGTCACAGGACACATACAGTATGGAGACAAATAACCACACCCACCTTGACACCATCACTGAATGGGAAGCGATCCCACGCTGCCCGCACACAAGTCAGGCGAGTGTACCACTGCACTATCCACGACTACTTCTAAAACAGTACATAGAAATAGCATCAAATGTACTTGAACATACTGTAGATTGTTGATGGTTTAAATTAGTCCGCTTATTTCAGGGTAACATGAGGTGCATTTTCTTCTCATGTTCTAAAGAGATAAAAAACTTTCATGCTGGCTAAAATGGTGTTCTGTGTGGTGTGCTGATAGCTCACTAAAATAAAAGTAACGCTAGCGAGGTGACACAAAACTGTCGTCTCTGAGCTTCACCTCCGGGGCATTCTTTTTATTGTCATCGTGGTGTGTGTGTGTGTGTGTGTGTGTGTGTGTGTGTGTGTGTGTGTGTGTGTGTGTGTGTGTGTGTGTGTGTGTGTGTGCCTCATGTGAGATCATTGTTCAAAATCTGTACCACATTAAAAGCCACCGCACCCCAAACTTGGTTCAAACAAAAATACGTTTAAAGTTGCTTGACTTTGTAGCTACTCCCGTCAAAGAGCCGTAATGGTTTGAGTTTTTAAATTTGACTTTATTTTATTTTATTTTATTTTTTATTTTTTTTTATTTTTATTTTTTCTATGTACCAAGCCGCTGGCAGGCCGCAGCTACAGAATGATGGGAGGAAGTGACACTGGCAGTGGGGACAAGGATGAGGTGGTCTCCGCTGCCGTACATGTCCCAATCGGCTGGCAGAGGAGAGTGCATGGCGGCCAGGTTGTGTATGTCAGGTGTGTTGATTATATAGAAGAAAATGTGTCGATAGATAATGTTGAGTATCCAGGCAACATCATCTAAATTGTGTCATTCTCATTGTGCGTGCAGTCCATTTTATTTAATTAATATTTTTCGCGAATCAAATTTGTCATAAACGTTTTTTTAAAAAACTCATCTTTACTCCTTAGTGGACAGCCAAGCCACACACTTTTTCACTCAGCGCCTTTCTCGTATGGATAGTCCCAATCCGATCACCTGGATTGCTATTGAGTCCGATCCAATTCAAATCCTTCAACCCAAACTATCTATTACATACTCAACTTAGCATGACAGATGAGCTGTTGCCATGGTTGCCATGTGTTTTCGTCATGTGAGCAGTTTTTGTACAATGGACGAGGTGACAAAGACAATCCGTTCGGTATTGGCCGAAGGTTACAATATTGGTTTATGATATCAAAAAGTGGTATTGGCCATCCCTACTTTCCAGTTACAGAAGCGCACTGTGGCTAAACATTTTACATGACTGCATGACTCTAAATTCATCAAATTCATGTCTGTTTTCATGAGTCACACATTTACAGAAACAACAAAGATCTGTATTGTGTTTCAAAATTACTGCAACTTTGACTTGAACCTCTTAATCCATCTTAGATATCAGTCAGAGGGGAGAGACTTACTTGCATGTGCATATGTCTATGTTTATGTAGTCCCAGTGGAACTTCTCTGTCCTCCCTGGATGAGGTGAAGACCTACCTGTTGACTGATGGCACATGTAAATGTGGTCTGGAGTGCCCGCTTGTCATCAGCAAGGTAAATCTGTTTGCTCGGGCTATCGTGTATTTTGCGAGAATGGGCAAAAAGATGGAAAAACTTACTGACTGTGCGCAGCTCAATTAGTCAAAGTCTGATGTAAGAGATAATGGTCTCCTTCCTGAGCACCGTTGAAGTCCCTTTGAGCAAAAAACCAATTCCCTTCACAGGATCAAGTTTGACAAACGAGAGCAAAATAGACTATTCACAAAACATGAAGATATTTATGGCTGTGTACCTCCAAGTCAGTCAGACTTGGTTCATCAAATTTTCCATTTCAGATGACTACAGTAGAAACAATTTTGAACCAATTTAAACTGCTGGTGTGCAAATTAGAATTATCTGGAAAAAAAAGAGGCAATTGTCAAGACAACCCCGGAGTGGCAACGGACCTTTGTCGTTGTCATTAATAGCGTGAGGCAGTGTCTGTCGCTCACATGTTGTTCAGGTAGCACAGCTCCTCAAGGGGGTACATCCATACACGCAGCGGCCAGAGTGTTTGCTATGGCACCCAGTACCGCTGGGACTTCATGTATTGTTACATCGCAGTGCTGATTAATGACCTGATTTTGGTCTGGGAGGAGATCTCCCAAGGAAGAGCATCAGCAATTCATTGTCGGAAATTTACAGACATTGGATCAACCTGTGATCTAAATGTCCGCTATGAATATGATTTTGAATGCAATATTTGATTGGAAAATTGTATTCATTAACTTCGGGAATTAGATTTTGATGATTTTTGTCGCACCTTTCAGCTTGCCACACCAAGCGTCACACTAAACACAAGTCACTCGTGTGATGTATGTTATTTTTATTTATTTTTTAATCTGAGTTTGGGACCGGCTGTGGCTAGCTATTCGGGCGCTGAATGGAGATCAAACCTGCGCTCTCGACGCTCAAGGCAGCAGGATGTACCGCCACAATAAAGTACCATATTTTCCGCACTTATTTGCAATGGATTTTTTATGGTGATGACTGTATTTCATCTAAATCATTGGAATTTTTTTCTATATGCCTTGAGTTGTTCAGGCAATGAAATATTTTGTCATTTTTAACTCGCAAAGAATATAGTTTAGTGTCAGTACAGCAACACGGTCTATTTTTTTTTTCCCCAACAGGTTTTCAACTTTACATTGGGGGTAAAGGTAGAGCAGCACAAGCAGCCCCTAGGCAAAGCAGAGCAGGACATGACCAAACTGTGTAACCATCGCAGGAAAGTGGTGGCAATGGCCGCTCTGTGTCGCAGTATGCAGGCGTCACACCTGCCTTTTGGTCACCTTCATAACCCGGGTAAGTCCTACCAACCAAGGAATTCGCTTTGCCAGTTATAATCCATCCAGAGGAACATATACAAAACAATGACCAACAAGGGGAAACAGAATGGGAAGCCCGGCGGTTCACTGTTAAGCGCCCCGATATTTTGGATGTGAAAAGAAAATAATAGGAAAGCTAAACTCCAGCCGATTGTTATTTTGAAAAGGTCTAATATCTGCCAATGTCATTGGCCGCCGATTATTTGGTCGGGCCCCACTTAGGTTGTCCTCAGAAAACAACAATACGTTTTATCATTTTCAATTAGCAAATATTTTGTTTTTCTTTTTCCAGAGGTGAGCAAGGGAGTGGGCAATTGCATCCCAAAGAGGGCTCTTGTTGAGCATGAAGAAGAGGACCGAGGCATTTACCATCCCAAATTTCGTCTGGCTCCTGCGCCACCTCAGAATAACGCCCATCCTAACCCCAGTGCCAGCCCCAGTTCCTCTCACAAGTTTATTTATCCTTATAATGGTTCCTCCCCAGGTCCTCACACAGGCGGAAACTCTCACCATCCCCTTGATGCTTTACGGAGGCTTCACCATCCTCCTCTTTCTCAAACGGTGCCCTTTACCACTTCCAGCAGCCCCCCATTCCCCACTTACCATGTTGCCCAAAGGTCACCCCGCACTCCCACCCCTCAAAATGTCAGTCAAGGTCAAAAACTGCCCCAAACTCCTGAAACTCCTGCCTCTCCTCTCCTAAGGCCCCTATCTTCACCTCCTTGCTCTTCTCCTAAAAGCTTTGTCATAGGAGGAAGAGTTTCACAGACTCAAGCGCAGCATCCACATGGGGTCATATGTGGAGGCTCTCCTCTCTCGCCCTCCCCCATCCTCTCTCCCTCTGTCCATAACATGAATTCTGTGTCTCCTCAGCAGCGGTCCCACTACCCTTCGGCTTCCCCCTCCCATGTCTCTGATCAGGGTGGAAGCTCCACTGCAGCGGCTGAAGGGCTGACAGCAAGTAATTTGTCACGGAGGAGGAAGTCCTGCTCTTCCTCTCCACACTCCCCTCTCCCTTGTGGTTCGCCAAACCCCAGCCCCCACATCTTCAAGTTTAAGCTGGAAGACATCTTGGAACAGTTTAAGAACTCTGGCAACAGTAGCACTAATAACCACCGCCTCGCAAACCCTACAAACCCCAGCACATTGACTAACCAAAGCAGTCACAGTCCTCATGCTCCCCCACTGAAACCCGCAAACAGTACAGCAAGTCTCGGCACAGCACCACCAGGTTTTGGCTTGAATCCTGCGGGGATTTCCAACACTATCGTGGCACCATTTTTGAACCACCACAGTCACCAGGGCCAGCTGCCGGCCTCAACTTCTTTTCCTGCAAGTAGTCTGCTCTCCGCGGCTGCAAAAGCTCAGCTGGCTAGCCAGGTAACCCATGGTCAGGGCTCAAATGTGTCCTGCAGCCAAACAAGTGTGTCCTCCTCCTTGGAAATCATGACAGAGGCACAGCAAAGACAGTCGACCAAGGTAACAAACAGCACTTTAAAAAACAGCCACCTTTCCTCCCCTATTGCTGCCTCTAGGCCTCACTGTCCCACTCTAGCAGCAGCGTCTTCTGTCCTCTTTCCTTCACCCCACTCCCTAGCCCAGTCCCTGGCTTCTTCCTTGCCCCAATTGCCTCCTAAAACAGAGCAAAATGCATCGCACAGGAAAAGGCGGCGGCGATCTCCCACTGTTCTGAGCACGATCAAAGACACCCAGCAGCTGGCCAATGGGCCGCAGAAGCCCCAGCCTCGAGAATGTGTCTCCGCTATTGCTCTGAACCTATCATCTTTGGCTTTCCCTCGCTCTGTCTCTGCCTCTACCTCAGATGTGCAGAACCCGAATAGTGTCACGCCCGAGCACCACCATCATCTGCCACCGGGGCAGACGTCTAAGTTCTTGACTTCCAAACAGACGGCACATCTTTCTGGAACTCCCCGACAGGCAGAAGCCCTGGATATCACTACAGGCTTGGCACCAACATCCCTTAGCTTGGACCCTCCAACTCAGCCCCTTTCTGCTCTTTTGCACTTACTCAGTGTACAGAATGCTCAGGCCGCAGCCTCGGCTTCGAACCCTGCTCCAGCTCATTTGGGATCTTTGTCCGTAGAAGGGGGTGGACACACTAAAACGCAGAGCCCCACACCATCGCCCTCTCCTATATCCCCTCATTCCAGCGGCAACCACGCGCAGCCTCCGTCACCATGCCGAACCAGTAACACTAATATGATATCGTTGGTTCCAGAGATGCTTTCTCCCACTCGCACCTCCACTCATTTCAGTTCAGTGCAGTCACAATCCCAGTCTCTGAGATTAAGTCCTCCACAAAGACATTCTTCGGCATCCTCCATGTTGTCACGCTCCAATTTAGCTTTACACAACAGCAGCAGCCCATCTCTGTCACACGTGGCCCCTACTCCACTTGACAGGCACCATCCAACTGAGAATCATATTCCAGCAACTGACACTGTTTCCCGGTTGCTTTCACCAGAAGCATCGCCACAGAGCATGATCAGTAATGATACGTCAACAGCAGACCCGAGTCACCCACAAAGCGACGTATCTGTGGCATTATCCACCTCGCCAAAGCCTCTTGATCTCAGCAATCATGTTCTAGCCCTTCTTGCAGCATCCTCCACTGCACGGCAGGAGGAACGCAGCTCAGCTGACCATACAACAGATATAGTGATGTCTTCCCAAGAAAATCACTCTCCAGGTGAGTAATCTTCACAGGATTTATGTGTCTGCCAAGAGCGTCCAGCCAGCCAACTCTTTTCAGAACCGCTTATCCTCACGAGGGTCGCAGGCATGCTGGAGCCTATCCCAGCTGTCTTCGGGTGGTAGGCAGGGTACACCCAGCACTGGTCGCTAGAGCAACGCAGGGCACACAAAGATGAACAACCATTCACATGATGAGAAAAAAAATTGCTTTGTAGGGATAAAACGGCTAAAGAATCAAATCTTGTCAATAGTGACCTTGCAAAATTCTCAGTGTTAGACTGGGCTTTGACTAAAAACACTTAGGTGTCTTTAAATATGAGCAGGTGTCAGATGGTAATTTTCCAAGAGTCTTCTGATGTACAGGTATCTGAAGACAACTCATTTGATCTTAAGACACTAAATACAGTATTAATGATAGCGGCAATAAAAACTGAAATGTTATCACGACATATTTTGTTTTTATCGCCAGTACTAGCTAGCTCTCTATTATATGCATATATGGTGTGTGTGTGTGTGTGTGTGTGTGTGTGTGTGTGTGTGTGTGTGTGTGCGTGTGTGTGTGTGTGTGTGTGTGTGTGTGTGTGTGTGTCTAAAATCCATCCCATTCTCACGAAGGTCGTTGATGAAGTCATTTACACTGTGGTGAAGATGTTTTTGCTTGTTCTTTTCCAGGTTCCGGTGACTCTGAACGTGGGGACTTGAAGAACTCCGCATCAACAAAACCTCTGACACCCACCAGTTTGGAGGTCGTCGCCTCTTCTCAGCTTGGAGAGGACTGTCCTCAGACACCTTCAGCTATGAACGACTCGACCGCCCCTTTACCTCTGGCAGAGGCCTTCCCTTTCATGAACCAAGATCAGCTTCTTCAGCTGCTGTCTTCCACGGGAGGCCTGCCATCCATCCTCGACCCTACGGTCCTGTCCTCATTACACCTCGGAGGGCTGTGGTTGGGTGGGCAAAATGCACAGACACCTTCCACTGCTGCAACACAAAATCTTGTCGATCAACAGCCAGTAATGATCCAATCCGAGACACAGCAGCAAAGCCAGGATCAGCAACAGAAGCAGCAACAGATAAACAGTAATCCTCTCTTTCCGTTGTTGCCTCTGTTGAGCGGTGTGCAAGGGGACATCCCTCTTAATCTGTTGGGCCTTCTAAACCCAATCCCACCTCCAGCCTCAGCTTCTGCCACAGGACAGGAATCTGATTTGGGGCTAACAGAAAAACCAAGTCACCAAGCTCTGCTTATGGCGTCCTTGCTGCTCGGGCAACACCAGGCGCCTTTGTTACCCTTATCTGGACTGAGTCAGGTGGGTCAGGTCAGCTTGGAGGTTCCTCTTCAGCAGCCGCCACAGATCCCCGCCTCTTTGGAGGGCCTCATGTTGGATAAGGCCGCTGCTCTCCTGGATCCGTCAACTCTTCACGGGTCGGGGCTTCTGGAAGTCACCCAGGGTCTTCCCCTCCCGCCTGGAGCGGAGGGGTCTGTCCAAGCTCTGCAGTCCCTGCTCCTTCCTCCTCAGCCGGCTACCTTCCTGCCTTTTAGCCCCGCCCTCCTTACAGCTGCTCTAAACGCAGCTGACTTACCCCATACCCAGTTAACTCCTGTTCAGCATACCCAACCTCAGGTAGGCTGCCCGTCTCCTTAGGTTCTTTCCTCTTAGCTCATCGTCGTTTCCTTCGATATACACTGATTTTCTAACATTATTAGTTTCATAACATCAGTTAATCACACATTTTCCAAAATTGCCTTTTTGTTCGTGATGGTTTCACGTGAATACATAAAAAGTAATTTGTATCTCTCTTGTTTGACATTGCAGACCGCCACCAACTGCCACCTGTAACGGCAGTTCTATTTTGTTCTTTAATTTTAAAATGCAAATTTTCGATAGATACTCTTAGTGTTACAGTGCTGTGAAAAAGTATTTGCCCCCTTCCTGATTTCTGTGTTCTTTCCATATTTATCACACACAAATGTTTCAGTTCATCAAACTGCTTTTAATATTACATAGAGACTACCAAGGAAGTACAAAATGCAGTTTCTAAATGCCAATTTAATTTATTAAGGCACACAACAACAAAAAAATTTGAACCTACCCGTCCCATTATGAAAAAGTAATTGCGCTCTGAACCTACTAATGTATTGTGCCGCCCTTGGCAGCAATAACTGAAATCAAGCGTTGAACTGGAAAAAAAACAAATCATCTAAACTAATTGCAACTAACTGAATTTAAAGTCAAATTGAAATAAACATGAAACGACAAATCCAAAGCACTGATGCATACCTATAAGCATTTGTTATTGTGGCCCACGACTTACTTCACAATTTAATTTTGATGAGTGCATTGCGATCTTGCAGGAACTGTCAGATGCTGGTGTGGACACCCTCATCCCCCTTTCTCTCCAAGGCAAGGAAAACCCCATTCTCCAGCAATTACTTCCCACTTTACTTAACCCTGCTGTGTTAGGTGAGTGATAAGTAACATACATCTGAGGATAGATGTCCCATTTCACTAATGCCAACAAATATTATCCCATTAAATTATTTATGGAACACTGCTTTCTAGGAGACATTTCTGGCATTGCCGGGCTCCATAACATGGTGGGTATTGGAGCCGGTTCCTTACTCCTGCCCTCAGTCCAGACCTCATCTTTGGGGATGCCTCTCCTGCAAGGTCCTGATGGGACCATCAACCTGCTCAACAACATTCAGGTAAGTAACTGACATGTTTTTCAAAATTTCGATCCAATCTGTTGTGTCAAATATGCTCATTGAACACATGAGGCATACTTACACAATACTTTGGGTCTCTTTCTTTTCGGTGCCGATAACACACTGTTAAGAGAAGCACATTGCTTTGTTTTTAACAAAACGGAAATGCCATCTTGCTTGATCTGTTTTGACAGTCGATAACCGTTTGAAAGTGGGCTTTCAAAATTGACAGCACTGTACAGTATGTATTTGCCGTTAAGCAACAACTAACCTGACCTACGGTTGTGAGAAGTTAATGCACGTCTCTGAGTCGGTCTATATGGTGTGACCACTCATAAAATGTGACTTTCTGTAACTGGCAATTGACTTAGACAATGTGAGATGGAATTCAAAACAATCACAGGTAAAACCTTACAGAGTTTGGCCAACCTTACCAACTGTGTTTACACAGTTAATTGAAACTTGTATTTTTTGCTTTTCTCCCTTCAGCTGAATCTTGCGCCATCCTCTGAAGGAGAGAAGTCCGACTCGTTGCAGGAAACGGAGAGCCCCGCCCCTCACTGTGACATTCCAGCCTCTCAGATCTCTCCTGAACAGGTTGCTAGTCCGCCTCCAACACCTGCCCAAGAAACGAGCCGACCGCCACATCGAGGGTCTGATGGCAGGCCACTTATCGACCCCTACACCTCTTTCATGGATACAATTTACACCTCCTTCCTTCAAATTAACGCTAAAGAGCAGGAAGATGGGGTCCACTCTGGGCCATCTGACCCTACATCACCTTTCTGTGCCTTACCGCCTGTCACTTTCCCCATGGAGCACCACACTCTCTCCACACCTACCCCAACTCAGCACCAGGCGAGTGCCCCAGTCTCCCTCAGCCCACGGCGGGCTTGCTCCCTGCGAAACCCAGACTTGTCACGCCTCAGCTTGGAAGCGGCAGCTCATTCTCCAGCCCAGGGTACGCCCAAACCCACCGAGGATGTGGCCACATCGCCTTTACAAAGAAAAACAGTCATGGTGGAGGGGCACACCCATCCAGAACCCCCCTTACCTTCCATATACTTGGAGGAAGCGAAGACGGACTGTACTGGTGTGGATAGACAGGCAGGATATCTGAGTCCTGGGGATGGTTGCAGTGGGAGACCGCATAAGGATGCACCTGGGACATTGTTGCACAGTGAACAGGGAAGGGTGAGTGTCTGCTGTTTGTCTTTTAGGTCAGGCAAAATTCACCGGTTTTAATCCATCTCAAGGGCGGCCATTTTGCCACCTGCTGTCAACTGAAAATGACATCACATTGCGCAGGCCTCAGTTAACAAACAATCATACCTCAACTTGCAAATGTTACATGACCAAACTCAGACAACAGATGAGCTGTGATTGGTCGTTATCTGAGCCCTGGGCAACTGTGATGTCATTTTCAGTTGACAGGATGTGGCAAAATGTTCACCCCGAGATGGATAAAAAGTGGTTGAAATTGTTTATGTATGTATGTATTTATTTATTTTGTTGAATTCATATTCCACAAATGTCATATTAACAACCCTTTCAGGGACAGCGGTTACTCCAGTGGACAGCTTATCAGGTTACAGATTATCATTATTGGTGCATGAAAGGGTTAATCAGAATGCTGTTTTTAGACCAGTGGCGACACACAGAACATAATGTATTATTGTAAAGAATTTTTTTGACTTGGCCTCCCCGATAATGTGCCACAAGATGGCACCAAAGCCCTGGCTAATAGAAATGTAGTAATCAATGTCAAGTAAGTACAGTTATTGTCATCAGTGTACATCGTCTGGCATCCTCTGGCTGTTGCGATTGTAGCATCATTGATTCATCAGGGATTATTACTATAACACTCAATGTTAGTGGTTTGAACTTTTTTTTTTGCAATGTTCAATCAACTGTTTGACTGTAATGGTGCATTTTTAAGTATCTGACCAACGATGTCATGATGATGCATTTTTCACCAAGGAACAATCAGGAACTGTGTCTGGAGTCCGTCGAGGGAGAAAAAGAAAACAGACGTAAGTTGCTTTGTCAGTGATTCTTGAGCTGAGCTTTCAGCGTCGTGTTTTTCAATGTCAATGTCTCACTGATTCGTATTTTGTGCGTCAGGCTGCAAAATGTGTTGGAGGACTTCAGAGACGTGGATGCTACAACAGCACTCGAAGAAACAAAGGCTACTACGGTATGACTCCTTTTTTGCCAGAACTGGCGTCAGCACACTGGATGCACAATTGATGCAAGCGTTAATTGATTATAGGATCACAGAAGCTTAATATTAGGCTAACCCTGACCTTCTCGGAACAAATAATTTTAATTACCAACGCTATTTATTTAGTATCCTTGTGACATAAACAATTCCTTGAGTGTGGTTGAATAAAATACTATATGAGGTGTGTCCGAAAAATTCCAAGACTTGTGTCACAAAAGTTGTATTTCAAATTCAAACTACCAAGTTTTCCAGTCATCACCTTGGAGTCTAAGGCACTTTCCCAGCATTCACCTGCACTCCTGGAAGGATTCTTCAAAGATTTTCCACAGCTCCGCTGTCAGGTCCATCTTGTTGTCGTCCGCTTCTTCAAAACGGGTCCCTTGGATGACCAACTTGAGCTTTGGAAAGAGGGAAAAAAAAATCTCACGGAGCCAGGACAGGTGAGCAGAGAGCTGGCATTCTGAGAAGGCGCACTGTCATGGTGACGCAGCCATGCGGTGCTCTTGCCTCTTCTCACGCATTGAACGAAGCAAACGGCTCAGGATCTAATTGTAAACGCGCTGGGTGATCACTTGGCCTAATTTGAAGGTGGAACCTGTAATTTGGTTTGAAATATATCTTTTGTGACACCAGACCTGAAACTTTTTCATTTTTTAAGAAACACCTTGTATGTATTTTTGTACAGCGCCTTTCAAGGGACAAAGGTGATCGTATTATTCACTGTTATTTTATTGTGAGAGTAGACTACTGTGCAAGTGTCTGGGGAGATAATGGAAACAAGTTACGTACTTTAAAAAAAAAAAAAAGTCTACCAAGGCCCAAACATTTGTTGTCATCTTTCTTATTGTGTGAACAAGTACAATCTCTGATCATAATGTGGTAGAAACTGCTGAAATGATGTCTAGTCCAAATATTTCCCCAAACGTACAAATCCCATGTTCAGATTGAAATGTTCTGTAAAGGGGAATTTTTTTTTTTTAAAAAGCAATATTTGCTAACTTATTTTCCCAATTGATTCCTATATTTATTGTTCCAACTGATAAATATTCACCACCCTGTAACGTACATTTGAAGCTTGAATAACCTTTTTTTTCCTCCTTCCTGTTGCAGACGGCCCTGTTGAAGCCCGACACATCAGTCCGAGGCAGGAGGAGACGAGGGGTGAGGTCTCAGAGGCAGTGATTGTTGCAGGGAGCTGTCAGTCACAGCTGTTCCACCAATCAGACTTCACTTCCTGACTCCACCCATGCATCCCAATCCACCCACATCACTTATGATTTTTTATTTTTTTTAGCGTCATTCTCAGTCAACTGCACTAATCATGCTGTTCATGTCAACAAATGCCATGAAAACCAGTGGAAAAATAAAGCATCGGTCGAGCTCCAGACTGGGGGAAAAACATTTTTTTAAAAGAAAATTTTAAAAATAAATGTGGATATTTTCTCACTCTTAGGTCTAGTTAACACAATAATGGTTGTGTTGGTGTGATCACAGCTCTCTTCACGATGTTAGCGTCATATCTTTTTTTTTTACACAGACAAAGCAAGAGTACTGTTCTCATGTATCTGTTACTGTGAGTCGCAATGAAGCCCGTCTACTTGAACCATGCTCTCTGTGGAAAGTGTGTATGTAGCTGTATGTATGTGTGTGTGCGTGTGTCTTTTTTAATATGTTGATTGTGTAGGACAACAGAGCTATTGCTGAGCCCCTCACTCGTGGTTTAGTTGGAATTCTGGTCATGTCATGGATGAGACCCTCTGTTTAAAGAAAGAAAGGACTCTTTTAAGGCACACTCCTAATGTTTTCAGATGGTGCTGGAAACGTAGATGTATGATTTTTATTTTTCTCTCATAGTATAAAGCCACCGTATTTGGATTTCTTTTACTTCCTCCCTTGAGTAGACGGCCATCCGTCATGTAGCCCCTTCGTCATGAACAAAATGGGGATTCTTAAAAGCCAGAGCTGTGATAGCTCATGTGGATTTGATGAGTCTGCCTAACTGTAGAAAATATCCTTACACTGCCCTCCCCTCAAAATACTGGCATCTCTCGCTGTATTTAACAAAAAAAGAAGAAAAAAAAAGCAAATTATGCAATTTCTATTCACTTGGAGATTTGTATATATGTACAATTAATGTGTTTTATTATTTTATATGGTTTAGAGAAAAGAGATGAGTGCAAACAATTGTGAATTTTCTGGGAGTATTTTTCTCATACTACACCCTGGCTTTCAATACTTATGTTAAAAAAAGGCGATTAAATTGTGGACTGTAGCTTTCTTTTTTTATATGGGAGTCTTTTTTTTATTTAATATTAAAACTATTTACAGAAACTATGCTGTGTTGATTTCATTTTTACACACTTGCTTAACATCTAAACTTCTTCGCCCTTGATCACTTCATGTGTTTTCAAACTTTTGACTGGTACGATGTATTAAACACATTGAACTGGTTAAACGATTACATTTGTTGGCATCAACGGTCTTAGGAAATACCTTTTAAAACACCTTAAGATAATTTCGCAGTGCAATATATAACCTCTGATGCAGATTTATTCTTTGAAGGACACTGCGTTATGGACTCGCTCCTCCTTTGTTGCATTTCTCGAATGACTTTCAAATGTGAGCACCACGTGCACTGATAACCAATGTAAAGGGTGTCCATAAAGTCTCTTCACTAGTTAAACATAACCTACCAAAGATACCGCTAACTTCCTGAATATTTTTTTTAACATTTTATCTGAAATATTCATAACCCATTTAAAAGAAAGGAACCTAACCACATTAAATGAGCGTCAGATTTATGTGACATGCTACAAACATGCCAGAGTTTAATTTTGCTTGCTGATGGTGTTTTTACATATCATGTGTTTTTTGTTGTTGCTGTAGTTGTTGTTGTCTTCCATTAACATTCTTGTGATGTTTCATTTGGCCTAACTGAAATCATGGCTCCAGTATGAATGCTGATGACGAGGCGCTGCATCACCCCGCCCGCTGGTTGCGTTGTCTAATTTCCCTGAAGAATCAAGATGAGCTGCAGCTTTTGCATGAGAAGGATGCTGAGCCATGGTGACGAGGTGGGTACCACCACAAAAATACATATAGAGAGAGACACTCCCTTGAGCAGATTAGTCCATTGATGCGCTAGTGGAATCGCCATATTGAATGTGGCAGATCTGCCCATAAACAACCATTGCAAGTCAATGGACTGAATTTCTTTTAAAGCGATAACCTAGTACAAAAGGCACAAAAACTTGATGCCTCTCATTCCCGCACTTGCACCCAGCGCACACACGAATACAATTGGGAGATTACGTTACTACAACTGATTATTCGCAAGGTTTGTTTGGTTCATTTTTTATGATAGATGTCCTTCCTGATGCAAAATACCATTTTTTTTTTTTATGCAGGCTGATCTTGTCTTGTTATTGGGTACCTTAATTGACCTTTTGAAGAATGTTTTTTTTTTTTTATTTAGATAAGTGTTCTGGATAGTGGATGGGTGAATATCCTGCCATTACTTTCATTTTTATGTGATCATGGCAATCACTGAAAATGGACTTCAGCACTTTTGTGCACTCGCTTCTGAATTATTTCTCAGCCCTCTAACTTTGGGAAACTTATATGGAATGAGAAATATTAGCGAAGTTACGAACAATAATCAATGGAAGTACTTTGGAGAATTTTAGTTAAACGGGAAATATTTCAGCACAAAAAAATATTCATCGACCAAAATGTACTTGCATCTCAGAGTAAACAGATTAGTAAATAAATGTTGACGAGGGCAATTAAGGAAAATGATGAATATCAATATCCGTCCAGATGCAACATTTTTTCAATAAAACGCTGCAAGTGTTTACATTTTCAACTGATCGCTTCGATAGCATTTCTAGGAAATCACAACTTGCATCACGAGTTAGCTGAATTCTGAATGAGCTCGCCGCCGATCCTCGGCTTTTCCACACCCAATATGGCGCCGACGTCAGGTACGCATCCTTGTTCAAATCTATATCTTCATCTAAAAGCTATCTGTGGGTACCACTTTAACTAGGATGCAGGCCACGCCCGTATCGGACCTCGCCGACAGGGGGCGTTTACAGTACCCTTCTACCTCACTGCCCTTCCAACAGCATCGCTCACCTTCAGCCGGACTGACGCACCCCAAAAGACAGAAAAGGCAGACATCTTATATCTCTTTCAGAGAAGCGGAGGGCACATTTTCATCTGTTTTTTTAATGATGTAGGCCGGTCGTTTGGCGTTTTGACGACTAATTAGCGCCGTTCCTACTCACTGCGACACGGAAACGCCGCTAGCTTCGTTTGCCTTTTCGACTTAAATAGTCTAGAAAAAACAAAGTAAGAGCAACCGAAGCTTTTTTACAGTCTCTTTGGAAGAAGAAGGAGCGAGCTGTGTGGATCTCTCGTCGTGTATATTGTTTTGTTCTTTTCTCGACGCCTCGGCTCCAGGCCGCCACCAGCATCTTCGTCAGCATCCCCCTCCTCATCCTCTTCATCCTCCTCCTCCAACCTGCGCCATGGCCGACGTCCCAGCCGAGTGCAACATAAAAGTGCTGTGTCGCTTTCGCCCTCTCAACCAGTCCGAGATCATTCGGGGGGACCTCTTTCTGCCCAAATTCCAAGGAGATGACACTGTCGTCGTCGCGGTAAGCCCCCAAAAAAATCTGAGAGAAAAGGGAGTCGCCTTGTTGTGCACGCAGGGCCCCTCATCAATTAATCATGTCTATGGGCCTTATTAACGTGTGTCTGGAGGTGCGTGTCTTTCTGTCTTTGAGCTTTACAACTGTTGACCACAGACTTTGTGGACATTTTGTCTGGGGGAACACAATTAAATTTCAAGCATGAAACTGTGTGCGTGCGTGCGTGCGTGTGTGTGTGTGCGCGCGCGCGCGGCCGCGTGTGCACATACCTGACTTGGGTGCACGAGTTTAGTCATTCTTAATCATTCCATCCACAGTCAGGATATCATGAAATAAATTAACACATATGCAGAACAATGTCCATCACACTCATAATTAAGTCGGAAAATATTGAGGTAAAAAGCTACATTTACTAGATAATGCAGTTTTCTTTGCAGTGGCTCTGCTTTTTTTGTTTCATATTGTACTTTAATTTAATGCACTGATTCGCTAGCTAACAGCCAATCACAGTGAACAGTTGTCACAGATGGCCAATGCCGTTTTGCATGCTACGATCGGTTCATTCAAATCATATCGAACAAGCCAAGCTGTTGTTTCAGGGCTGCAATTAAGGATCGTTGTCATAGTTGGTTGATCTATCAGTGATTTTTTTTCAAATGATCGAGGTATCCAATTTTAAAAAATAATAATTTCCATCGGTTTTTTTTTTTTTTTCCAAAAACCGGACATCATTTCAAATTGACAGTGCATAATATGCTAGCGAGGTTAGCTTCGCAATTAGCATAGATTGTAGCTTATTCACCAGCACGAAGGCAATGATTCTGGTCTTAGGAGTGGTCACAATATGGTCGATATACTTAACAGATACACACAGTTACTTCCTTGCTTCCACTTTGCTCCTTTTTGGCCACTATTGGAAGATGACTATTGTATACCTTTTGGTCCCATAGACCGCAATGTTATTGCCTCGCATTGGTTTTGTTTCACCACGCTGTGGTCTGTCTCCTTGTGCTGCTTTCTTCATGACATACAGGAGCAACTTAACATGTTTGTTGTTTGCAGGGCAAGTCCTACGTGTTTGATCGCGTTTTTCCAACCAACACCACCCAGGAGCAAGTGTACAACACCTGTGCAAAGCAGATTGTAAAGGGTACGCGTCCAAGCCAGTTCATCAACGTATCTAGCATTAGTGAAATGTGTTTCCTCACATCTCCCTGTTATTGAATTTTTCTACCCTTATAGATGTGCTGGGTGGCTACAATGGCACCATCTTCGCGTATGGACAAACCTCTTCTGGCAAGACTCATACCATGGAGGTACAGATAGCATAGTTACTTTATTTTGACTGCATATGTGCTTGGCATCGTATACAAAATCACAACTTTTCTTACAATGAGAAGTTATGTTACAATTCTATGTTTTACTATAGTGCCATTTTTCAGCCCATCCAAGTGTCCCTTTAAAGTTCAAGTCTGAACAGTTGTGCCCATTTTATGACGTAACTTGCTGTTCCAGGGCAAGCTGCACGACCCTCACCAGATGGGCATCATCCCTCGCATTGCAGAGGACATCTTCAACCACATCTTTGCCATGGATGAAAACCTGGAATTCCACATCAAGGTTTTAATGTTGCCATCTGTTGGATTGGTTTTATGTTTGTCTATTCTGCTGCTCATCTGGCATAATCTTTTTTCTCTGACTTTGTCTCTAAAAGGTTTCATATTTTGAAATCTACATGGACAAAATCCGGGACTTGCTGGATGGTGAGTGCCTAAAATAAATATTCACTAAATAGCAGCATTCATGCAACATTTCATCATTTCAAATCATTTTTTTTCGTAGTGACAAAGACCAACCTGTCTGTCCATGAGGATAAAAACCGTGTGCCATATGTCAAGGTGTGTGACAACTAGGCTTTGAACATGAATACAGTATACGAATCATCCCTCAATCATCCATTAAATGTTAAACCTGGTCTTACAATCCTCAGGGATGCACCGAGCGCTTCGTCTCCAGCCCGGATGAGGTTATGGACGTGATTGACGAGGGCAAATCAAACCGGCATGTTGCCGTTACCAGTAAGTGTCTTCTTCAGCTTGTCAGCAACAGAAACAGACTCACACATGTTGGCGCAAATTGCTTACCTACCTATAGACCAAAGTATTTGTCAACATCCACACTGTTTAACACTACAAAAATAACAAGGCCAAACAACCACACCCACTAATTGCTCTGGCATTGTTAGCAAATACCATGTGTTTTTTTTTTTTTGTTTTTTATTTTTTATTCACGTGATACAATCCGTTCATCTCTTGTCATTTAGCCTTAACGTTATTGAAGTCTTTTTATGTGTCCCTCTGATATCGTGTTTGAGGAACTGTGATGACTCATCCATAAACCACTATGCTGATCTACACTCTCTGATTAGGGCCAAGGGATTGCGTATGTACTTTATGGATTACATGGTTTTGTGTGTTAGAAAAAGTCAAGAACGTTCAGTGGATGGGAAGAACATGTTGCCACGGCAACACGCTCACTGCACGCCAGAGCCGATAGAGCAGACACACTACAAAGCTTGTGAAAGTGTAACAATCCACAGTCAATTATATCGATGCTGCCATCATCGCAGTCTTCTCATGCTGACTCACTGTGCTGCAAGGACAGCGTTCTGAGTTCTGGAACCTGAACATTGTTTCTGGGAAGAGATAGTCAGATAGTGCTGCTGGTCCTCTGCATGATGAGGTCACCTTGCTGCACTTACGTCTTGGGATTTGATGAGTTTAGTTCATGTAAAGAAAGTCCTTTCTGACTCTATTGAATATACTCTCTTTAAGGATCTGTTTTTTTTTTTCTCACAGTTCATCAGCATTCACGGTAATTCTGAAATATCTATGAAATGCCAGAGTGACATTGTGAAGCCACATCATCGATCCATTTTCTATAGACTTAGCCTGTTCAGGGCTACAGGGAAGGTTTTTGCTTATCGCAGATGGCTTAGGATGCCGAAGTCAGGAGTTTGGTGCATTGCTCGGGGGCACCTTAGCCATGCTTCAAAGTCAATTGGCTTCCCTCCAACAGCCAGTATCAAATTCCATCGTATTCCATCTGCAATGGCTATTCAGCTGCTGCCCGGGAATATGCAAAAAAATTAAAAAATGGGTCCACATAAGCAAAATTCCTTGGGTAACTGCACATTTTTCTTTTGTTTTATATCAATTATAATTATTACATATATACCATCAAATATATAATTAGACTAATGAAACAGTGATCAGTGCAGTGCCAACAGTGATGCAGAGTCTGTGGATTATATATACATATCTATAGATATACTGTATATATCTATGTATATAATTGTTGTTGTGTTATTTCTGTATTTGTGCAGACATGAATGAGCACAGCTCTCGCAGCCACAGTATCTTCCTAATCAACATCAAGCAGGAGCACGTGGAGACCGAGCAGAAGCTTTGCGGCAAACTCTATCTGGTGGACCTGGCAGGAAGCGAGAAGGTGGGCTAAAACTCAACATCAACGATTCCCAAGCCAAAAAAGAATGCCAGATAGTGGTCGATACAGTCGCTCACCCTGAGCTATGCAATAAGTGTAAGATGTTAAGAGTAGGAAAGAGAAACAGCCCGGTATGTGAATGTTTAGACTGTAGTATACCTTCTAAGCAAAATTCCTGATGAAAATCAAACATCCAACTAAGGTTGAGTGACTTTTACAACAATTGCAGTCCATACTGAACCACTTCAGTGCGAACTAGACCTGGCCATTGCGCTGACGAATTAAATGCACGTTTCACGTTTTGTTGAAATTGATTTAACCCTTTCAGGGACAGCAGTTACCACAGTGGACAGCTTATCATGTTATCAGGTTACAGGGTGCAGGAAAGGGTTAATAGCATTCTAAATCTTGTTCAAACACGGAAAAAAATACATCTACTCATGTACAAACATCACCTCCTAATAGGAGATGTCAAGTGCTGTATTTGAGTTGTGACCATCCACTCTGTGCACCAGGTCAGTAAGACGGGGGCTGCAGGAGCCGTGCTGGATGAGGCCAAAAACATCAACAAGTCTCTGTCAGCCCTGGGAAATGTCATCTCGGCCTTGGCCGAGGGCACGGTGAGTTTTCACCGTCAATTTTCACTTCCCTCCTTGCCTCTTATCCAAAGACGACGTGCAAATCTTCTTCTCTTCCAGAAAAGCCACGTGCCATACCGTGACAGCAAAATGACCCGCATCCTGCAGGACTCTCTCGGTGGGAATTGTCGCACCACCATGTTCATCTGCTGCTCACCCTCCAGCTATAATGACGCAGAGACTAAGTCCACACTGATGTTTGGACAACGGTACAACGATACGGATTGTTTCTTTTTACTCACTGGGAAATTATTCCTAAAATAACTGGTACACACTCCATATCATTAACTTATCATGGGTTGGACTTCATCGCTTCTTTTACCGTGAAATTAATTCTTCATTTTAACATTTTGAACATTAATTCATTTCTATTCACTCATTAAAATACCATCTCTTTGCGCCTCTTTCTGTTCCATACGATGCACATCAGTGCTAAGACTATTCGAAACACGGCCTCCATCAACTTGGAACTGACAGCTGAACAGTGGAAGAGGAAGTACGAAAAGGAGAAGGAGAAGAACAAGACGTTGAAGGACAGCATCCAAAAGCTGGAGGCTGAGCTCAACCGCTGGAGGAATGGTTAGGAACAGCCGCGGAGCAAATGAACATTCTTTGAAAAATGTTGACACTCTCTAAGTCCGTGCCATTGTCACTTCCTCCAGGAGAGAATGTACCCGAGACGGAGAGGACCCAACCGGAGATCGTGACCCATTATGAGTCGGTGGAAGAGCGGCCCATCCTAGATAATGACACCTCTTCCATTGTGGTCCGCATTTCTGAGGAGGAGCGCCAAAAATATGAAGAGGAAATCCGTAAACTGTACAAGCAACTGGATGACAAGGTAGCCTTTAGCATTCTTGGCACATTAGCTCGAGAGGGAACAAAGACTGTAATTCCCTCTCTCTACGCTAAATACACTTTGAGTGCGCTGCTTCACACAAACCATTCAAAAACTACTCAGAACGTTGTGGAAATGTGCTGTTTGGTTATCCACAGTGCCCCAAAATATTGCATAACTGAGCCCAGTGCATCAGGCAGTAGTAAACAAGCTGATGATCATTGGCTGCAATCAGAAATTCCTGTTAGCAGAGCGCGTTCTCCTTCCCGCATCACATAATAATGAGCAAACGCCGGTTTCTACATAAATTTCCTTCGCTTGAAATGGCTTACCGTAACCAGAATCCCGCGTCGTCGTCGCGAAGTTAGAAAATCCTGGTGGGTTAATGCATCTTCTTCTCCATCTTCTTCGTCTCCTTCGAACTGCCGCCGGAAGTGCAAAGAGTCACGGCGGCAGTATTTAATCTTCCTTTTGCATCTTAAAAGTTACATTTATTAAGGGTAACGAACCTTTAGAATGCTTGAAACCATGTGAGGGTTGGCTTCAGACAACCCCCTGCATTGCGGAGTTAGCTTTTTGTGGGTAATTTTTGGAATGAAACCATCATGATAAATGAGTGACCACTGTAATGCTAATTTTTTAAAACTTTCTGTGTGCCCTGTGATCGACTGGTGACTGGTCCAGGCTGTAGTCTGCCTATCTCCCAAAGTCAGCCGGGATAAAGTCCAGCTTCCTGTACCCCTTCACAGGATAAAATATGATAGAAAATGGATGGATGGACATGTTGCGGCGTGTTGTCACAGAGATGTGATGTGTATTACAGGACGATGAGATCAACCTGCAGTGTCAGCTGGTGGAGAAACTGAAGCAGCAAATGTTGGATCAGGACGAGGTACACACCAACTTATACACGCGGACTTGCACACACACAAAAAAAAAAAACAATCGCCAAGTCTTCTTTCTTACGTGTGTCATCTTTACCGGCAGCTCTTGGCGTCTTCACGTGGGGATGGCGACAAAGTGCAGGCGGAGCTCGGCAGGCTGCAAGTGGAAAGCGACTGCGCTAAGGCGGAGGTGAAGGAGGTGCTACAGGCTCTGGAGGAGCTGGCTATCAACTATGACCAAAAAAGCCAGGAGGTGGAGGAGAAAGGGTTGCAAAACCAACTGCTGGCCGACCAGCTGTCCCAGAAAATGGTACGTTCAAGAGGAGGACCGTGACAGAAATATGCTGCGTTTACCAAGACGTGTGTACATTTCCATGCACATTTGTTAAGGTAATAAAGCAGACACACTGCGCTGGTTGCTGGTGCCTTTTGTGTCGATGGCGCAAGTGCGATTCCAGGTCATTGCCCTAATAATCAGCCACTGCCGACCCAGTCCCAAGCCTAGATATAAAAAAAATGAGTTGGTTGCATCAGGCCTTATCTGATGTAGAAGCTGACAAACAAATCATGCGCGTGACCTGCTGTGGTGGCCTCTGATGGGACAAGATTAATGTCGCCACAACATTAAAGGAGAAAAGTCACACTTTTTTTCCCCCTAGAATTTAAAACAGTTCCCAGCTCACTCACCGACACATTTTCAGCTTTGGTTGCCGAAAAAAAAAAAAAACTTTGTTGTTTGTTTTCATGCCTTTGGAAAGGCACTCACCCCAGTGACCTGGCTATTTGTACACAAGAAAAAAAAAGTCAATTTTTCATATGTCCTCTTTATTAATGTCCAAAATAGATGTCCATGTACACTGAGAGGCAATAAAACAAAACTGATGCCAATCCATTTAATGAAGAATTATATGAAAATTGTAAAAAGATAACATTTAATTAAATGAAATGACATCATTACACTAATGAAGCGTGTCTTCAGTACAGAATGATTTTTATTTGTGTTTACTGAGGCCTATGGTATATTTTTCCAAAAGTTGCGTGTATGAAATTGATGTCGTTCATATTTCACGAGCTATTGTAGTTTTATATTTCATATGATTAGATTACCTTTACAGATGGGTCACAACAACAACAGCTACATTCTGTCACCCCAAACTGTGCTCTCTGAACCAGGCGAGTTTGATGGAGCTGGAGGCGGAGCTATCTCGCATGCAAGAAGTGAGCGGTCAGCAGAGGAAGCGTATTGCCGACGTGCTCAATGGGCTGATGAGGGACCTGAGCGAGTTCAGCTCCATTGTGGGCAATGGCGAAATCAAGCTGGTGAGTTGGATTAAGGATAGATGGATGAATAGAAGGATGGACTCTTTGTGTAACTTCAGAAAACTATCCCTGCACCCCCCACCCACAAATGCAAATTGTTTGACCTTTAGGGCATTCAACATCTTGACTGCAAATATGAGACGTGATTGAAAAAATAAATGTGGAATATGTTTCCTACTACGCTCAGCCGGTGGAGATCAGCGGCGCCATCGAGGAGGAGTTCACAGTGGCGCGCCTCTACATCAGCAAGATCAAATCCGAGGTGAAGAGCATGGTTAAACGTTGCCGGCAGCTGGAGAACATGCAGCTGGAGTGCCACCGCAAGATGGAGGAGACTGGGAGAGAGCTCTCCTCCTGCCACCTTCTCATCTCTCAGGTGAGACCCACAGGAGGGGACAAGAAAGAAACTGGTGTCATGAATCAAAGAGATTTCTGCCATGGTTATCGTGGAACTGTTGTTCATGCTCACATTGCATTACAGCATGAAGCTAAGATCCGCTCGCTGACTGAGTACATGCAGAGCGTAGAGCATAAGAAGAGGCTGCTGGAGGAGAGTCACGACTCTCTAAGCGAAGAGTTGGCCAAGTTGCAAGACCAAGGTAATGCTCAAGACAAAAACAGTGTAACATGATCATGTGTACAGGCAAAAGAACTCTTTGACGCTCAGGCTCATCTTCATTCGTTTGTGCCGAGTCTTTTTTTTTTCTCACATCACTGGCTTGGGCGGGCGGCCCGGTGGTCGAGTGGTTAGCGCGTCGACCTCACAGTGAAGCGGTTGTAGATTCGATCCCGGCTCCGGCCTTCCTGTGTGGAGTTTGCATGTTCTCCCCGTGCCAGCGTGGGTTTTCTCTGGGTACTCTGGTTTACTCCCACGTTCCAAAAACATGCATGGCAGGCTCATTGAACACTCTAAATTGTCCCAAGGTGTGAGTGTGAGCGTGGATGGTTATTCCTTTCTGTATGCCCTGCGATTGGCGGGGAACCGGTTCAAAGTGTCCCCCGCCTACTGCCTGAAAACAGCTGGGATAGGCTCCAGCACCCTGCGCGACCCTTGTGAGGATTAAGCAGATTGAAAAATGGATGGATGGATGGCCTGGGCAGCCCAGTGGTTGACTGGATAGCGCATCCTCCGCATTACTTCCGGCCTCCCTGTGTGGAGTTTGCATGTTCTCCCCTTGCCTGCGTGGGTTTTCTCCGGGTACTCCGGTTTCGAGTGCATGTGAACATCCCTGGATGAATATCTTTCCACAAAAACAACTCCTCGGCAGCATCATATTATTTGTGTGGGTGTGTGTGTTAATTGTCCAACCCTTTCCCCTTTTCTCCTCTTGTACAAGATAATTCTCTTCTGGAGGACAAAGATGGAGAAAAGGGAGAGACTGCAGATGGAAATGTGAAGGTAAAAAAAAAAAAAAAATACACCCACCTCATGTCGTTTGCCAAAGTCAAGTTTTTGCAGGAAATGACTCGCCGTACTCCATTGCACTTGTTGCAAAAATGCCTATCCAAAGAGCAAATCAGATTCTGATTCTGGCAAAAAAAAAAGAGTGAGGCAGTTATGTTATTAGCATGTTGACATCCAAGGTTTAAGGAGACATACGATATATCGTTTTTAAATTCAACAACAGTTACCAGGTGTCTTAATAAAACATCTCTCACATTTCTGCATGAAAATACACAAAGAAGACATTCTGTTTGAATTCAATTTTGTTCGTGTGTGTGTGTGTGTGTGTGTGTGTGTGTGTGTGTGTGTGTGTGTGTGCGTGTGTGTGGGCGCGCCGGAAGTGCGTGTGTGTGTGTGTGTGTGTTTCTTTCCAATTCAATATGAAACTCTGCAGAAGATCACACGCCAGCAGGGCGAATCTCACCGTGGCCTCCATCACAAGCAGCTGGCACGTCTGCGTGATGAGATCAATGAGAAACAGAGGCTCATCGACGAACTCACCGAGTCTGTATACTCTTTAACGTCCAAAATATTGTTTCCGCTATTAATGCACATTGCTATGCTTGCCATCATAGAACATGACATTAATAGAACATGTGTTATACCTAGTCGCAATTCCAAGATGGAGCTGGAGCTGGCTCAGGTTCGCTCCGACTTTGAGCGTCTGAAGAGTCAGGACAATACCAAGAGCGAGCGCCTGGAGGAGCTCTCGTAAGTCTTTCATACTGTATTATCTTGTTTGTTTGCCTTTAAATACTTTATCTAATATTTTCCCTCTCACTGTCAGATTCCTGCACGAGCGCCATGAGCAGACTAAACAGGATTTGAAGGGTCTGGAAGAGACTGTCGTGAGTAAACCTGCAACTACGCTTAGTCTTCAAAGGACTTTGTTCATACATAATCAACATGCCATTCCTTTCTATTCTTTCTGTAATATCCGATTTCTTAAGTTTCGCCCTCTAACCTTCTCTCCATCCGTTCTTGCCCAAGGCCCGCGAACTCCAGACCCTCCACAACCTTCGCAAGCTGTTTGTTCAAGACCTCACGTCGCGGGTTAAAAAAGTAAGTCAGGATACTGTCTTAAGGATTTAACAATACTAGCCAGAAATAATTAGGTACAACTGCACGATCTGATGCGAAACAAAAATTCTGCCTTTATGCAAATACCTGTATCTAACAAAGCCAAGATTGAAGACCGCCACCAAGGCTGAACTATGATCATTTGCCTTCACATCCAATTGCACACCTTCATGAAAGACTTTGTGATAAAATCACCAGTAAGTCATGCGTTAACATCATAATGGCCTAATCAGACAGGTTCGCATTGTTTTTCCTCGTATTTTTTAACCCTCTCCCAAAGTACAGCTAAAATAATAAACATATTGTAGAATAAAATCTCTCTGACACATTTGAATCAAACATTTTCTTTGAAATGGCAAGTGCATCCATTTTAGTGGCTGGTTAGCGACTATGTTTTTGCCCCGTTAATTTTTTTTCAAAAATTGTGGAAGATCATGCTTGTAGTTTACAAATGATGGAACACTTGATCTCCATTATGACTACCGTATTTTCCGCACTATAAGGCGCTTTGGAGTATAAGGCGCGCCGTCAATGAATGGCCGATTTTAAAACAGTTTTCATATATAGGACACTCCGCATTATAAGGTGCATAGAAAGGAAGCTACAACAGTGGCTGCGGGTGCGTTATGCATCCACTAGATGGAGCCATGCTAAAGAGAATGCAATACAATAAAATACATCTTTATTTATATAGCGATTTCACAACCGCTGCACCTGTAACAAAGCTCTTGACAGAACATTGAAAATGCTACGTCCAAGAAAGCAGAATATTGATCCATATATAAGGCGCCTCGAATTATAAGGCGCGCCTTTGAGAAAATTGAATGCTTTTCGGTGCGCCTTATCGTACGGAAAATACGGTATATTTGGCTTCCTTCCATGAATACTCCAATTTCCAGAGTTCCGAAATGGAACCTGATGATAGCGGGGGGTCTTGCACCCAGAAGCAGAAGATTTCCTTTCTTGAGAATAACCTGGACCAACTTACAAAGGTTCACAAACAGGTGAGAACACGTGTGGCGTATCTTTTCTTTTTCAACATCCATTGAGTGACTTGGACAGAAAAAAAAGAAAGATTGTCCGTCTCTCCTTCCTCACATCCATGCAGCTGGTTCGTGACAATGCAGATCTGCGTTGTGAGCTTCCAAAGCTGGAGAAACGTCTTCGGTCTACTGCTGAGAGAGTTAAGGCCCTGGAGACTGCACTGAGGGATGCCAAGGAGGGCGCCATGATGGACCGCCGTCGCTACCAGCAGGAAGTTGACCGCATAAAAGACGCCATGAGGGCGAAAAACGCCCTACGACGCCCTCATGCCGCGCAAATTGGTATTGGTTCGAGAGGTTGATGAGAATGGAGATGCATCTCTCTGATGCTGTTTGTATTTAACATTTACAAAAACATGTGTAGTGGAACCATGAGTTACAAACAACTTTTATTTACGGACTTTTCAAGTTACGCACAAAATTTTGGAAGAAAAGCTGCCTACAGTTACGTGCGTGTTTAGTTGTGTGAGCCGTCTTAACTTGGATGAGCATACAGCAAGGGTCGCTGACTTTGTGAAACGAAGAGCTATTTTTTGCGTTCTGATTAATCCGAAGAGCTACCAGTTTGATGCACACTTCTGGATGTTTCACGAATGTGTGGAGCAAGTGATGTACAATCCTACTCCTTTTATTCCCAGCCAAGCCCGTGAGGCCGAAGCAAATGCCTGTCTGCTCTCCCAGCAACCCATTCTACTCGTACATCCGGGCCACCGAGCACGCCAACACGTACAGCAACGCCGTCTTTCAGAGCAACATGACGCCGAACAACTCCGCCAGCATCAACTGCAACCCGAACTCTGTTCAGACCAACACGTGTGTTTCAAAATTACAGTATTTTGTCCTGTCTCTTATCAAAGACCACCTTTTCACCAAGTGGTCTAGTTAAGTTCATTACAAGTCGGGTTTGGAACAGATTTATCGTGATGCTCCCTTTGTTGTTTTGCAGAGTTTCAACAGCATTGGGCTACCGAGCGGGCAGATACAGTGGCGACATACTGGAATCCTTCCCACTTAACATTGACAACGGTAAGCATGCAAATGCAGTACATTTACAATGTAGCCAAACAGTTCATAATACTGTCGCCCCATCCAATTTTAAGGTAAGATTATTAAGTGTAAGAGTATAAGAGTTCAGTTAAATGTTGCGGTCTTGAATTGCCATCATATGATTTCTCCCTAGTCATTGAATTCACTGTTTCAGAAATGATGTGTTAAACTACTTTTGTTTTGCTAGCAGGAAACAGCATCAGTGATTCAAGAGACATCAATGACAACAGGTGAAGATAATGAACTTTTTCACTGTAAAAATATAACACTGACATCCTCAATATTAGGTAAAGCTGCACCGTCTAACAATAAGATCCAATACAAGAGCTGTATTTCAAAAAAAAAAAAATGCTTCCACAATAATGATCAGATTGATAAGGTCAGGGAGCGATTCATTCAACAAAAGGTTTGTTATTGTAGTTTCACCGTGATGCAGAACTGTTCGCCGTCATTCGGGTCAAAAAGGCAGAGTACATCTTGGATTGCCTGCCAGTTTATCACAGAACTCATACAGACAAACAAACATTCACAATCCCATCAATGCACAATTTAAGATAAACTTTAGAACTTTGTTAATTCCACAATAAGGGCATTTGCAAGAGTATGAGGGAGGATCCAGTACATGACTACAGACATCTTGATCTGCAGTCAAATGCTATTCCACCGAGCAATACAGCCACAATTGAGTCTTCAATTAACCAAAAATGTATGTTTCGGAATGTGGGAGGGAGCCGGAGTTCCCCCGCCGCTCGTGAAATGAAGTAATCAATTTTACTTGTAGCTAGTTGTCCAGTTCTTGGAGGTGTTGTTTTATTGAATGTTTGTGTGCTTGGAAACAGGAGTGATGTGCACTGTGGCAGCGAGGTGGATGATTCAAATAGACACTTCATCGTTCACCAGGAGACAGCTGCAAGTTAATACCAAGGTAACAAGAAGTAGACGTTTGACATGATCGACATTTACTTTCAATTCTTTGGGATTCGGCAAACCCAGTAATAGTACAATTATGTAGCAGTGCGGCGAACCCCCAGTTCATCATTGGGTATATTTTCAAGACCTACCTACAATATGCGAAATGTATGATTTAGTTACCTTTATTTACATACACTTGATTCTGATGGGCGAAGTTAGCCTTTGGCTTAACTAAGGTGTTTCTGCATGTGAGTGTCAGGGCGTGAGCTGTGGCCGATAGCAGCTTCTGCATGAGTGTGCTCATTGAATTTATAAACAGCTGAAAAGTGCATGCTCCCAACCATGGCTCTCCTTCCCCACAGCAAAGAAACTGCAATAGAGCAAGGTTGCAGTTGGTGAAAGTCGAGACCACTGGGCGAATTGTGTTAACTGCCCGCACCTTCAAAATAAATGTCGCTCACTTGAGGGTGCATATTCTGTTATTAATACTACCAACTTAACGTCACTTTCACCATATTGTGCTAAGCAGCTAGGGCAGAGACAAGGGTAACACTTTCCTTCATCACAGTAAGTCCGAGTTCCTGATCTATGTACATTGTACATTATCAGTTTTTCTTTTTCACCATTAACGATACTGTACCATTTTGTGGTGGTATCACCAAAAAAAAAAAAAAAAAAAAAGCCAAAGAAAAACAAAAAGACACTTGCGGAGCTAATCATTTACAAGTCTTGGGAGCTACAGGCTGAAGTTCTGAAGTTTTCCATTCACCTTTATTCAGGTTCTGCTGTATTATTTTTATTATTTTAGGGGTATCTAAAATGTGTACGTATACAATGATCAATTTGTCCCAAGAATCATATGATTTTATTCATTTTCGTTTTTGTCGTTCTCTTCGCAGGTGATGACCAAACACTGTACATGTTCGAGGAACCGCGCCCTCTACCCCACCAATCTGCATGCTGCCTTCCCCCACCGCATCGCCAATGACTATGATGACGATGGTGACAGATAAGATATCCTTTATTTGTCCCACACTGGGGAAATTTACAACCCAGCCTTCCTCTAGCTTTGTAGTCTAAGTAGATAAATCTTCTCCTCTTCCTTCTTTAAGCCCCACCCATTTACTTAGAATAGGCGGGCGGCCAACAGTTAAGTCAGTGCAGGAAATTATTTTTTTGTAAATAAAAAAACGCCGCAGTCCCAAAACTAATCAAGTTGCCCCTGGAATATTTTGGACTCGAACTCTTGCAGAAAAGTAGTGGTTTATACTCTAGTTGAGATTTTTTTGACCAGCATCTTTTTGTGTTAATGTACAACTTCCCTTCTGTACATGTCGTCTTCTTAAAGGGCCTCATGTGGTAAATAGGGCCACGGTGTCCCTAATGCTTGCACCTAGCAGGAGCCCCCCCCCCCCGACCCCCCAAAATACCAACACACACATACACAGCATGCATGTCACTTAGCGGGTTAGCTTCCAAATATTTGCATGTGTTTTGATTCCAATCAGGAGTGAACCGTCCGGTTGACCTCACCGGATATGTAACAGAAAGGGAAAGGCAATGTATGGCCTCGCTGACCAAATGCAGATTTTCTGTCTCCCACGTGACCCGGTTTGGATACGCATGTCAGTGTAAGCAGAAACAAAAACGTGGAATTGGATATCTTCAGATCTGCAACAGCCTTCAAGTTTGAAAAAAAATGTATATATGAATGGGTGACTGCAGCATAAAGGGACTGATCAGATATTCCCGGTCACTACAAATCAGACATCATCGAAGTATGCCGCCCAATGACTTACACTGACACGTCTACCCAAAATACACTACAAGTTTAGAACCCAATGCTCTGTTTTTATTTCATTCTTTTATGTGTGGTTTGCGTTATTTGGAAAGTAGAAAGCAGATCGGACATACAATAAGCACAAAAGTGGAATCGGGAGCTAATTCCGCCAAGGAGTGCTCCTCGTCATCCCTATTCTGGTACCGGCGCTTTGTTTCAAGTAAATGTCTTCGTAGGTGTCTTCATGCGGCATATAAAGTAATCACACACAAACAGCCCTCCTCTTAAAGGGCAAGAGAAGAATAGATCGGTAAATCATTTATGTGCTTTAATATTGTGACGCTTCAGTTTGTTGCCATTGCAGGGCGCATTTACTGCTGCTGATATGCACACTGTTCAATGTTTACTGTTTTGGAGAATTTCTCAAAGTAATTTTCATCATCCGTGTAAATTCATTGGAAAATATTTGAAAAGCTGGCAAGTGTTTCAGTCTTTAATTGAGAACCAAGAAAAGTCCAATGCTGACAGAACATGTTCACGAAAGTCCCCAGCTGAGCAGTCACCAGTCTGGTTTGGACCGGCAGGAACGTGTTTGTTGTATGACAGACAATTCACGCTGTGATTCTTCCGTCATAAATCCTGACCAACCAATCAGGAGGGAAGAGCACTGCATGTTGTAAGGGAATAGATGCATGATGTGGATTCAGCTCAGTGAATTAAAGACTAAGGGAACACACCAAATTATACGCATTCATACATACGGCTCTTCATGTCTGAATTTTATCATGAAAATTGAAATATCCACGGAAAAATTTGGAAAATGTGGAAAAACAGCCTTATCATTTTCAATGTTAACACATTGACCTGCACCAGGATTTGATTTACACTCTCCCACTGCATCCCCACGTCACTATATGAGGAGTGTTTCAGCCTGATCAGAGCCTGCAATTTGTCCAAGCAGACCCTCTATTTGACATCGTGTTGCAAATATGATCTACTGTATGTGAAGACGATACGTCAAAGGAAAATGGGTTTGTACATTACAGTATTGTCATCTGCTATTTCCACTGTCTGGTTTAAACATATCTTATATGTATACAGTATATATATGTGCTATTTATTGTTCATCTTGTAATTAAGACGTAGTGACCTGCAAGAGATTGCTACGCTGGAAATCAAAAAATATTGGTTCTATTTATTTCCGTAGGCCTGTACTGTAGCGTTAACATCCTATGATAACCACTGTGCAAGACTCCCGTTTGTAAATATCCGTATGTACCACATTGTATGTGACCCATTGTGTTGTCGTTCAAGTTCAATAAACTTGGGAGACCGGGACTGAGGTTCTTCTGCGTGGATGGCCAACAATCCCCACGGCCACGGACAAGACATTTTGTTGAAGATCTTAGCAAAAGCTGTTCATAGAAGTAAGGCGCAACGCCAACGTATACCATACCATACCATACCAATTTATTTGTATAACACATTGAAAAGGCAAAAAAGAAACAGTTGACACCAAAGTGCTGTACATGCCACAAAAACATAAAAAGCAGAATTAAAAACATAAAAAAAAAAAATTGTCTTTCCAAGCTATCAAATAATATCACTGACAGTAAAAATGCATTTTTAACATTATACATTCGAGTCTGCACTTGTTTCTAAATGAGTTTAATTTGTACTTTGACTAGTCATTTTTACACAAGTATTTGTACTAATAATGACAGAATGTGAGTACTTTGCCTCCCGAGTGTGTGAGACATAAAACACAATTGTAAAAATTGTATTATACCTTCTCAAATGTCTTGGATTACTGATAATTCAAGTGACATCCCTGGTGGACAGAGGAAATTCCTTCATAATGAGCAGCTCGGTATGGTTCCCATGAGAAAGGAAGTGGTGATGTAAACAGCATTTAGAGAAGCATCATCATGAATGCAGAGTGATTTTTTTTAACCACAAATATGCATACAAATTTTAACATCATGAGACCAAGCAACACCCGGCACTTGATCAACACTTACTGATGCTTCAAGTCGGATGTTCTCAGAGGGTTTATATTTCCAGAGAATATTTAGTCAGTTGGAGAGCAGCAAGTTGTACAAAGTAACGTGGACCGCATTCAAATAAATGTTTAGATAAAGTCAAATTCTGGTTGCATTTTAGGTTCATCCCATAATATTACTCGAAAGTCCAATACATATACAAAGCGTTTTATGATTAGTTTTATAATAGCCTTGGCCAATCAAATCTTGAGGCATTTTTGCTTCCAATATTGTTTTGTACACGAGTCAACTTGGTCCGTGCTCGTGCCCTTTTGCGCGTTCTCGTCGTCACACTGTGGATTCACACGCCGGGAAGACAAGCAAGACCTTGGACCGGGCGACCTCACTCCCCTGCCCCCTCACGAGCCACGACCCTCTTTACTTCCCTCGTCTCCGGGTAAACTTCAAGGAAGACAGTCGAGTCTGTTTTGTGCTCCCTCCCGACCCCCCAAAATACCAACACACACATACACAGCATGCATGTCACTTAGCGGGTTAGCTTCCAAATATTTGCATGTGTTTTGATTCCAATCAGGAGTGAACCGTCCGGTTGACCTCACCGGATATGTAACAGAAAGGGAAAGGCAATGTATGGCCTCGCTGACCAAATGCAGATTTTCTGTCTCCCACGTGACCCGGTTTGGATACGCATGTCAGTGTACCCCCCCCCCCCCGACCCCCCAAAATACCAACACACACATACACAGCATGCATGTCACTTAGCGGGTTAGCTTCCAAATATTTGCATGTGTTTTGATTCCAATCAGGAGTGAACCGTCCGGTTGACCTCACCGGATATGTAACAGAAAGGGAAAGGCAATGTATGGCCTCGCTGACCAAATGCAGATTTTCTGTCTCCCACGTGACCCGGTTTGGATACGCATGTCAGTGTAAGCAGAAACAAAAACGTGGAATTGGATATCTTCAGATCTGCAACAGCCTTCAAGTTTGAAAAAAAATGTATATATGAATGGGTGACTGCAGCATAAAGGGACTGATCAGATATTCCCGGTCACTACAAATCAGACATCATCGAAGTATGCCGCCCAATGACTTACACTGACACGTCTACCCAAAATACACTACAAGTTTAGAACCCAATGCTCTGTTTTTATTTCATTCTTTTATGTGTGGTTTGCGTTATTTGGAAAGTAGAAAGCAGATCGGACATACAATAAGCACAAAAGTGGAATCGGGAGCTAATTCCGCCAAGGAGTGCTCCTCGTCATCCCTATTCTGGTACCGGCGCTTTGTTTCAAGTAAATGTCTTCGTAGGTGTCTTCATGCGGCATATAAAGTAATCACACACAAACAGCCCTCCTCTTAAAGGGCAAGAGAAGAATAGATCGGTAAATCATTTATGTGCTTTAATATTGTGACGCTTCAGTTTGTTGCCATTGCAGGGCGCATTTACTGCTGCTGATATGCACACTGTTCAATGTTTACTGTTTTGGAGAATTTCTCAAACTAATTTTCATCATCCGTGTAAATTCATTGGAAAATATTTGAAAAGCTGGCAAGTGTTTCAGTCTTTAATTGAGAACCAAGAAAAGTCCAATGCTGACAGAACATGTTCACGAAAGTCCCCAGCTGAGCAGTCACCAGTCTGGTTTGGACCGGCAGGAACGTGTTTGTTGTATGACAGACAATTCACGCTGTGATTCTTCCGTCATAAATCCTGACCAACCAATCAGGAGGGAAGAGCACTGCATGTTGTAAGGGAATAGATGCATGATGTGGATTCAGCTCAGTGAATTAAAGACTAAGGGAACACACCAAATTATACGCATTCATACATACGGCTCTTCATGTCTGAATTTTATCATGAAAATTGAAATATCCACGGAAAAATTTGGAAAATGTGGAAAAACAGCCTTATCATTTTCAATGTTAACACATTGACCTGCACCAGGATTTGATTTACACTCTCCCACTGCATCCCCACGTCACTATATGAGGAGTGTTTCAGCCTGATCAGAGCCTGCAATTTGTCCAAGCAGACCCTCTATTTGACATCGTGTTGCAAATATGATCTACTGTATGTGAAGACGATACGTCAAAGGAAAATGGGTTTGTACATTACAGTATTGTCATCTGCTATTTCCACTGTCTGGTTTAAACATATCTTATATGTATACAGTATATATATGTGCTATTTATTGTTCATCTTGTAATTAAGACGTA